ACTCGCTCGCGCGGCGCGGCATCTTTGTCACCTTCGGCAACGCGTCGGGCGCGGTGCCCGCCTTCCCGCCGATCCGGCTCATCAAAAAGTCACTCCCGCTCCGCGCGGCGCGCATCGCCGAGCCGCCCCCGCGAGGCCTCTCTCGGATCCCGCCCTATAGGTCGCTCTTCATGACGCGGCCGAAGATGCTCGACTACGTGTCGACGCGCGAGGAGCTCATGATGCGCGCCGACGAGGTCTTCGGCTGGATCGCTTCGGGCGACCTCAAGGTTGGGATCGACAAGACGTTCGACCTCGAGGACGCTGTCGCCGGCCACCAGTACCTCGAGGCGGGCAAGAGCAAGGGCAAGCTGCTCTACAAGATCTAATGCATAGGGGGCAGAGACCACGCATGTCATGATAATGTATAGCTCTCCCTGGACGCCCCTCGGCTCTCCTGGACGGTCTCCTGGGCGTAGAGGGCGCGGCGCAGCCAAGCGGGTAATGTAGTGCTCGAGAGGTTGTGCCTTGAGGGTTTTGCTCATTTTATGTATCCATGAGTTCTGAGAGACGGATTTTTTGGCACTTTGTCCGAAAAGAGTAAGAAGTGGAGCGACTCCAAAGTGTGCTCCAATACACACACGCTCACTCCACATACACACGCACACACACACACACACACACACACACACACACACACACAACACACAACACACACACACCGGCACTGAGATCTGCCCTGAAATCTTTAGGTCTCACTCCTCTCAATCTCTAAGAAAGACTAGAGATTTCGATGACTGCTCTCTGGACAGGGTGGCCCGCCACAAGGACCCCAGGAATTGCGACTCGCCGCTTTCCTCCCGCTGTGATTCTGTGTGAGGCTCTGTGTCTTGTTTTGCCAACAATAGCTAAAGAGTAAACACGTACTGTAGACGTACCGGCGCCTTCGGAACTGTCAACTGAGTACACGTAGAGTTTGTAGAGTAGCGGCGCGGACCGGGCGTTGCACGTGCTGTTTCGAGCTGCAACTCGCTGCTGCAGCCGCGACAGTGCCCGCCGATGTAGAGCACGCGGCTCATGACCAGGCCGATCTCAGGGTCGCCCGCCCGTGTCACATGTCGTCGAGGATCACGCGCTGCCGCGCCTCGAAGTTGGCCTCCGAGATGAGCCCCTCATCATGGAGGCTCTTGAGCTCCACCAGCCGCTCGCGCACGCTCCGCTACAC